TCAGTATATCAACAGTATGTGGCCGGTACTCACTGGTGGGGAAGCTACTTTAAAAGCATAGCTTTACCAGCTAATTAATTCACACTGGAAGATGTTGAACTACAGTAAAGCTACCTTAGGGAGAAATCTAATTTGGTTAACTAAAACCACTTAGAAGAACAGTTCAAGTTACTTTGTTAAAATAAATGATGAAATTGAAAATGCATGCGATACACAATTATAACAAAATATAAAGAGAGGCACACGGCAGCAAAAAATGAAACTCAGTCGAGTCATACATAAAAATAAACATAAATAAAAATACCCCGCTATTTATTGGAAAGTGCAATGAATGTGAGCTTTGGTTTTGTATACAGTGTCCATCAGTCAGGTACAATGCGTCTGGAAAGTATTCACAGCACTTCACTTTTTACACATTTTGTTATGTTACACCCTGTTTCTGAAATGGATTACATTTTTTTCCCCCTCAAAATTCAACACACAATACCCCATAATGACAACGTGAAAAAACTTTCTTTTAAATTTTAGCAAATGTATTAAAAATTAAAAACAAAAAAATCACATGTACATAAGTATTCACAGCCTTTGCTCAATACTTTGTTGAAGCACCTTTGGCCGAAATTACAGCCTCAAGTCTTTTTGAGTACGATGCTACAAGCTTGGCACACCTATTTTTGGGCAGTTTCTCCCAGTCTTCTTTGCAGGACCTCTCAAGCTGCATCAGGTTGGACGGTGAGCGTCGGTGCACAGACATTTTCAGATCTCTCCAGAGATGTTCAATCGGGTTCAAGTCTGGGCTCGGGTTGTGCCACTCAAGGACATTCACAGAATTGTCCTGGAGCCACTCCTTTGTTATCTTGGCTGTATGCTTAGGGCCGTTGTCCTGTTGGAAAATGAACCGTTGCCCCAGTGTGAGGTCCAGAGCCCACTGGAGCAGGTTTTCATCAAAGATGTCTCTTTACATTGCTGCGTTTATCTTTCCCTCGATCCTGACTACCTGACTAGTCTCCCAGTTCCTGCCACTGAAAAACATCCCCACAGCATGATGCTGCTACCACCACGCTTCACTGTAGGGATGGTATTGGCCAGGTGATGAGTGGTGCCTGGTTTCCTCCAGACATGACGCTTGGCATTCAGGCCAAAGAGTTCAATCAGTTCCATCAGACCAGAGAATTTTGTTTCTAATGGTCTGAGAGTCCTTGAGGTGCCTTTTGGCAAACTCCAGGTGGGCTGTCATGTTCCTTTTACTGAGGAGGGGCTTCTGTCTGGCCACTGTACCATACAGGCCTGATTGGTGTAGTGCTGTACGGATGGTTGTCCTTCTGGAAGGCTCTCCTCTCTCCAGAGAGCAACACTGGAGCTCTGTCAGAATGACCATCAGGTTCTTGGTCAGCTCTAGGAAGAGTCCGGGTGGTTCCAAACTTTTTCCATTTACGGATGATGGAGGCCACTGTGCTCATTGGGACCTTCAGATTTTTCTGTACCCTTCCCCAGATCTGTGCCTCGATACAATCCTGTCTGGGAGGTCTACAGACAATTCCTTGGACTTCATGGCTTGGTTTGTGCTCTGAACTGCACTGTCAACTGTGGGACCTTATATAGACAGGTGTGTGCCTTTCCAAATCCTGTCCAATCAACTGAATTTACCTAAGGTGGACCCCAATCAAGTTGTAGAAAAATCTGGAGAATGATCATTGGAAACAGGATGCTCCTGAGCTCAATTTTGAATGTCACGGAAAAGGCTTGTTTTTTTATTTTTAATACATTTTTCACGTTGTCATTATGGGGTATTGTGTGTTGAATTTAAAAGGGGGTAAAAAAATGAATCCATTTCGGAAACAGGCTGTAACATAACAAAATGTGTAAAAAGTGAGGTGCTGTGAATACTTTCTGGACGCACTGTACCAGTGGGAGTATTGCACTAAGCAGGATTACTACTACTATAGCAGATTCACATTAAAAACTACAGCCAGACATTTTTTTTACAGGTGAGTTGACCATCCAGCTTAGAAAAGCAAATTATAAATCACTCCTTTACTTTTATGGCCCAAACTTGTTCGTAGTTTCAGTAGTTAACTACATAGAAAAATGGTAGAGAAAAGTAATTTAACAACTTGAATCACGATGCAAATATGAATTTAGTTGAGCTGCCAGCAAGATACTGCAAGCTAATTCCACTAATTACATGTCGTTCACTACTCCCCAGGCACTGTTATAACCACACAATCCATCTTATCTTTCTGTGGTCCGGTTGTTGACCAACTCCAATTAGGCAAAAGTTGAGATTACCTCCAAAACAGGATTTAGCAGACAGGCTAGGATTACTTGGGGGAGGATAAAACAGAGACCCATGCTCTCCTGTGTGTGCGTTTGTGTGATTATGCTTGCACAGTATGTATATTATGTGTATCTATATGCTAAATTCATACTTGTGCTCACAATTTTTCTCTCGTACATGCTTCATACCATCTGTAGAGGAAACAGAGCAACAGGAATTTGATTATATAAGTGAGAAGAAGAACTCCCTGTGGCCTTCCTGGCTTTTAGTCTATCTGGACCACATGACACTTAACAATATACTGCAGAATTATTTTATTTTTCATCACAGCTAAAATGATTCGCTCCTGACATGTTATTATACCAGATTGATTGTTTGTGATCATTGTGTGAAATTATAACTCGCACAGCAAATGTGAAAGCAAATAGTCATACAATATTCATTTCTTACTGTGTGGTTGACCTACTTCCAGTATTTGGGGTACAGGTTAAACCAATGACACTCTGTGTTATCAGACAGCCTTACATCTTATTGATTTCAGTCATATTCCTGCATCCAAAGTCCAGCACCACATTGATTTACCAACAGTCCTTCTTAGCTTGTCAAATGTGTGTATGTGTGTGTATCTGTCTAACCATCTCTGTCTCTGTCTCTGTTTCTATGTGTGTGTGTGTGTGTGTGTGTGTGTGTGTATACTGGTCTTTAATGGGGCTAAAGACTACAGCGGGTCAAACAGGAGTAGGCCGCTCACGTGTTAGGGATTGTGATGACAGGGAGCGTGTGTGCATTAAGCTGTTAGTATAGACTAAGCTTTGGGACATCAGGTTAAAGTATCCTCACAGCACCTCTCTGTTGATCTATGGGTGGATGTATATGGGTGGGGTTTACAGCTGCACAAAGAGAGAGGGAGAGAGAGAGAGAGAGAGAGAGAGAGAGACTGACTGTAATGCAGAAGTTCAGTGAGCGTGGTAATCTGAATTCTAGATGAGATGAGATTTTACATTAGATTAGATGAAATTTAAATCATCCCCATAAAGCAAAAAGAAAGTGGTATAACTAAGATCAAAGCACGTTGGAGATGTGAAGCATAATGTAACCAGCATTTCTCAGTGTAGAGACACATGTTAAGTAAAGATGTAGCCTATCTTCCATCCCAGCCATACAACCCAAACGGAGTACAGTTTTATTCAAATAATGAACATATAGCTGGCACAGACAGATAGCTAGATAGATAAATACTCTGCTGCCCCCACATGGCAGTTTTAGTTACTACAACTAACCACATAACCACCACCATAACATTTTACACAAAACAATCATCTTTAGTGCATTTGCATCTCATTATTATTACGACATAGTGTTATAGGAATTGTTAGAATATTATTAAAAGCAACGTCCTCGCCTGCTCTTTTTAAATGCTAAACTGTATGCTGGCCTCTGGCTGTAACCAAAGATACAGAAGTATCAAGATAGATCCCAACCTTTACAACCCATAAATGGATGGTAGTATCGTGACAACTTAATCCCAAATGAGTAAGTATACTTTGTGGAATTACAGGGGGAGACAGAAAGCAGGTTGAAAGGCCTGGGGGAGGGGAAATTCAATTGTGAAATAAATGTGAGTAGAGACCACTCCAGTCTAACGTCCCCGGCGTTTACTACCGAAATATAAATTAAGAGGGAGTTAAACATCTCATCGTGCTGTCATGCTATCTAGCTATATTTTGCGGCGCTTACGCATACATTAAGACGTATAACCCATTGACAGTATATATAAGGTATGACCATAACAATAGTTTTTTTTAGAAGATTTAAGCTTCGGTATCACTGAGGAGAATCCACCAAGCGGCACCCGGGCTAACGACACACGTTAGCTAAACTAACCCCGATTTATCCAGTGTCATTTAGCTAATTTCAATGTCAAATTTACAGCTGTGTCGTTGTGCTCCAGCTCCATTAAAGAGTATTACCAGGTGTACAAGTTATGTGTCTATGTAGAGGTCAAGACTTCATAAAGTGACGAGGCATCAAGGCGGTACCATCCGGTCCCATGGTGTAATGGTTAGCACTCTGGACTTTGAATCCAGCGATCCGAGTTCAAATCTCGGTGGGACCTCATCCTTTTCTTCAATGTGAAACAACTTGCCGGTTGCCAATATATTGCATAGTGTTGCGTGTAAACCAGAAGCTGATAAACAGCAGCAGTGTTTCAACAGCAGTCCAAGCTGTGACTAGCACCAACTACACAGCAAGACTGCAGAGAGTCAAGCAATGTTACACCGCCACCGCCACCTTACCAAACCATTTTCCTCTCATGTTGTTCATATGAACTCTGGTTGAAGAGGGAATTCCCCTATGGTGCCCAAATATCCGAAACAGCCATCCTACAGTGCTCAGATCCTTTACTTACTTTGAGCAATATCACAACACAAAATCAAGGTGGAGCTCATTTTAACTACTTAATACACCGTTAGGTTGTTTGATCTATAACAAGCCATCATATTTAATGAGTTGTTTGTATATTTTGTTGGAAAATGTAATCTGCAAAGTAACTAGCGAAAAGCACAATCTTTTCTCCCTGTAAGAGTGGAGTATAAATTATATAAAGCAGCAGTGGAAATTCTTCAATAGTGCAGTACAGTATTGGAAGACATTTATCATCCTTGGACAATAATACTGGGATTAAATAATTTCACTCAGAAATTTCACTGAATACTACAGGTTTATGTTTAAACAACTTTATTTCCACAAATAAATGGCAGTGTTAAAAATATATATATACAATAATGTGCTTGAATTGAACATTTCTTTTTACGTTTTATTGGAATGTTTCTCAAATTTCTTTACAAATATGTCCATGACAGCTGTTTCTCTACTGGGCAGCATTGGCAAAAGTATACAGAGTGGGATCCCTGTGCAGAATGAGTTGAGAACCACCGCTCTTTAACAAAGCCTTCTCATACTCAGCTGTTTTCTTACCACAATAGTGTCTTATTCCCCGTGCATCAGTGTACCCTGCTGTATCCACACTGGAACATTTGTGTTACCAGTACGTTGTGTGTGGGTGCATCCTGGAAGAACACCACATTTGAGCTCACTTTCAAACATAAGACTCGCTCAGTATTCCAGTGGAAACTGAAAAGGTGCTGCTGCTGTAGCCTGCCAGTGTACACACAGCACGGTACATGTGCAATGGAAAAACTATTAAATTATATCTCCGTGAAGTGGCAGTAAATTGTATTCATGCATTTGAAAAAAAAAAGGACATTGTAACAACCATACAAACCATTAGAAACAGGGAAACAGCCTATTTTAACAGCCACAACAAAAACAACAGACTAATATTACAAAGCAATAGGATACATACTATATACTATATATATACTATTATTGTATACTATATATATATATAGTATACTATAATAATACTGTAATAAAGACATGAAATTGTCTCTTTCCCATGCTGATTGAAGAGGGAGTTAATAGCAGATGGAAAAAAACATTAATTCCTAATTTATAAACTAATCTGCCACAGCTATATCCGACACAGACACATTTTAAAATGGAATTCTTAATGTGTAGCTCTGTCTTGTCTTTGTTTTCATCAGATTTCCCACCGTATTACAATAAAATGTATGTCATGATAGAAAGTGAAGATTGTAGTAAATTAGATAAAGGAACATTTTTCCCACCAATTGTACAAACAATTGCAACAAAGTCAGAGGGAGTACACACAGCTCCTCACACTCCTTACATACATGATTTCACACACTACAGTGCTTTTAAATCTATTGTATGTGTGCTGTTTATTGGCCCAAATGACTGAGATTCAGTATGAGTGAAATTATTGCAGCACTCCACATCTTCATTATCTATGCACCAGAGGAGAGAGTGGGAAGAGGTGGAGCCGGTAATGTTTAGCACATAATATAGTTCCAGGAAGTAAATCAGATCAAATCAGATGAGGCTTAAAATTCGCTGCACACTACTTTACATACATGTTTAGCTGTCGTGCCAGGATGTTATGCTATGGAGAAATGGATTGCCACAGTTTTATCTCCTACTGAACTACATGAGCTGTGTGTATGAATCATTAAAGTCAGAGTACATTCCACATTCAAATGAGCTCTGATTATTTGCCATAAAAGTAAATAAATATTGGCAATATTTGTGTAAGCATACATTGCGACCATCAACTTTAACAAAATACAATAATACAATAATGTGGGGATAAAGCATTTAAACTAATTTTAGCTATACCATAATGTCCTACAAAGGCCAATACTTCAGAAACAGTGAAGTTGACAAAAAGGTTTAAAGCTGCAACGGCTGGCAAACAGTAAAACGGACTCATTTTAAGCGAGCAGCAACCTCCGTGGCTAGCAAGTTAAGCCAACACGGCAAAAACTGCAGTGCCTTGAGCGGCCACTTGAGGCTGGCTACAGAAGTGAGTCACACTCCATAAGCCCCAATATTAAAATGTCCAACTTTACAGCAGAAATAAACATGTTTACAGCCCGGTACAAAAAAACGGTTTCGGTCTCTATGGCTAAATTCCTTTCTCGTGTCAACTGTATGGTGGGTGACTCATTGGTTTAAAATATATTAAGGCTTAAAGTTATGCATAATTAAGGGAATAGTGACAGGCGGGTGGTTACAGTTACCATGCTTCACTCAGCTCCACCCACGGCTAACGGCTAACCATAACCCTGTCTGTCCACCTACTAATAATATTTGTATTCATTTACAATTTAAAACATTGAAACATGTCCTTTAAAGGTAACTGAACCTCACCAAACCATAGAATTCAAAAGCTGAAATGACCGTTAGCAGGACTTTAGCTGGCTTAACGTTTTTTTCTCCATCTTGACTGGATTTTACTACTGTCTCATTGAGTTACACGGAATAACAAAGTGAAGTAACCAGATGTCATCAATATCTATATCATCTATATTTTTCAGTTACACAAAACAGCCGAGAAAAATCAGTAAATAAATGTAGGTTTAGCTAGCTGAGGCTATTTCACTAGCTAGCCTTACCTTAGCTACCTTTTTTTACTTTAGCTAATGTGCTGTCTTTGTGTGACAGAGTGCAATATGTGCCATGGTGGAGCACACACAACCACACTGTGGTTACTACAGTTTGGGTTTAAGCTCAGGTTTTCATTTGGTAAAAGGCATGTAAAAACAGTTTTGACCAAATATGTAGTAACTGTGTTTTGCCTTTTTTAGGGCTTTGAGTCCAAAAGGCTCTACACAGTGAAGTAGTTGAAGCCCTCTGGCCACTGTACACTTCCTCTGAGTCCGATTTATGTCATTAGGAAATCGCAACCGTGATTATGTTGTTTCATCCTGTTAACATGAACGTTTTTTATTTCCTTGCCGCCTTTCTGCAGACCATTGATGATTATATTATCCGTCTTAGATAAAAGCATGTAAAAGAACGTATAGATCACATCAGTGGGCTTTGACATTCATTGGTCACAGTGGTGTGTGGGGTAAAGCATTCAGAGGCTTCATAAGGCAGCAGATTACACAAACACACAGCTTTACATTTGTGATATCAAAATGGCAGGTTCAGGGATTGGCATCTTTCTAAACTTTAACAGGAAATACATTATAAAAACTACAAAAAATACTGAAATACATAAGTGGACTTCATCCCAGCAACAGAACACATGTACACAAAACCATGACTACACTAAGATTACAGGATGACACCATGATATAATGATTATTTCTCATCAGTTTATATGAGTCCAAAAAATGTCTGTGTATGAACATCACATGCTCTTTAAGTGCTTTTCAGATTTTTTTAGTCTTCTGTCTACATATAAGTGTGTGTGTGTGTGTGTGTGTGTGTGTGTGTGTGTGTGTGTATTTGGCACCACAACTATCACCTCCACTCAGATGTCAGTGGTCTCCAACTTGTTGATCATGTCCACCTCCCCGTTGCTGCATGTTTTGCTGTTCTTCTGCTGCCCGTTGGCTTTCTGCTGGAACACGAATGTGTTTTCTGAAGGCACAGCAGTGGGCTGCTCCAAGTTGATGGTGGCGCGGCTGGTTTCGGTAATGGAGGAATTGCGGTAGTGGTTGTTGGTAATAGGTGTTTCTCCCCATCCGGTTTTGCCCCAGGCAGACTTCCACTGAGCCCACTTCCTCTGCAGCGCTGTCTGGGCCTGGACGACAACAATGATAGTCATGAGAGAATTAAAACTTACTACAAGCACTGTTTAAGTGCTTAGGAAACAGTCTCAGTTTAAACAAACAAGACCATGAGTGAGAAGGTTGGCTACTTCTATGCCTGCCACCGGGACGTATCCGGTTGCATTCCCCTTGAAATCAATGAAATGAGGTAGTGGAAACACTACTGCTTTTGTCCACAGGGGCCGCCCCGCTCAACAAAATGGAAGTTCGTAGGAGCTTTAAATAAATCTATCTATCATGTATATGGTACAACAGTTTACATTATTTGAGTCTACCTTAAGTATCTATTAGCGGTTTTAGTCTCTATTATGTCTAATATTATAATTTTAACGTACCTCAGCATTGCAGAAACAGAATATAACTGCCACTAGGAGTCCCTGCAAAGTAAAAGGACAGATTAAATATTAATAAGTTAACAGATGTAGGTGACTATCCTGTAAATAATGAATGTAAATAGACCAATTGATGCATTGTTTCTTGCTGTGAATTTTGGATTTATGGCCACCACAAGAAACCAATTTTACAAATATCAATACAAGGAGCAGCTGACAGTCAAATTTCCAAAAGCGGCCAAACAGCACTTGTTTATTCAAACTCAAGAGCCCAGAATGGCTCTCTCATGTTTTGCAGTGTAATGGAAATTGTTGAAAGTGCTCTTTAGTTCGACATTGCTGCTTAATGGCATTTAATGGCATTAAAAGCATTCATGCCAGACAGTACCTGTGCTTGGAACAGAAAATGTCAAATCTTTCATGTGGTAAACATCACCATAGAGTTTGTTTCATACATCCACGATTTGAATGAGTCTCTGTTGAGCAGAAGCATCAGCCTTTGTGTGCTGGTTGTACCTGGAAGTGGCTTACGACATTTACAAAGAAATCGTAGATGGCCCGGCTGATGTGTCCCTCTGGCCTCGAGGGGAAAAGGATGTACTGGACTCCCAGCAGGGGGATGAGGATGAGAGTTGCTCTCACCGCCTTCATGTAGGCTGTGGACTCAGCACAGTGGGTGTCTTTCAGCTTGGTAATTAGGACGCGGACGATGTTCAGGAGAAAGAAAAAGTTAACCTTTGATAGATTGATGGTGGGTGGATGGACGGAGGGATGAGTGAATGAAATGAAAGTGGAAGAGAGAAAGAGAGAAGGATAGAAATGTTTAAATGTTACTGATATACAGAAGTTAACTTGACTAAACTTGAAGAGAAGGCACGTATGCATACTATCTAAAGAAATACAATGACTGGCCTGGTGGTGGCACTATCATCACATCTTTAAGTACCAAGCTCATGGCAGTGAGTCTCCTATAACCTCTTTTCCTGATTCCTGATTTCCATGGCATTTAAATATCATTTTTAAGAGTTTCTGTGTAAAATGACTTGGTAATAAAACCTGAACAATGATGTACAGTATGTTGGCCCTATGTTCTACCATTACCAAGTTACTAAATCAAATGAAATATTATCATCTCAGTGGCATATTAATATCAGTACTGTTTGGTCATTTTGTTTCTGATGAACAGTCCTGCCAATAAAGGTTGTAAATTAGAAACTGACAGCAGTGTGTTTGAATTAATTTTGTATTTACATCTAAACCACAGTGTTCATTTGCATGACGAGTTTCAGGTAAACAAATTCTACCAGTCTGCCCTTTGTTGTCACTAACTATTTGAAAGGCAGTTTGTTTTCAAGGTACATTTTGAAGGAACAAGCAGAGATTGGGTCAAATTTGCAGAAAAGTTGCAGTGACTGGACAAAATTGCAAGGTCACAGAATTCACATGGATTGCTTTAATTGTTGCAATCTCAACATTGCAACTTCCTTGAGGGACTGACAAGATAAAATCTGTGACTGATCATTTCCTGGTAATTCTTATGGTAAAACCTTACATAATATACTTGTATTAATTACTCACAAGCAGTGCAGCTTGAATTGGCCCATGAGTGATATAGAGCAGGTGTGTGTTTGAGCTGATCCAACACCTGAAACAAACAGAGAGCGAGAAAAAGTTAAGCTCTGAACACCTTCCCGGTGAGCTTTCACATGCACAGTGACATAAAAAAAAGCCAGAGGGCTTCATGAAAGCCTGAATTCATTGTTAGCACTACACTCAGAAAACAAAGGGCTCACTCAAATGCTTCTCAATGAGGCAAATCAATATATTTCAATTCCTCTCAGCCTGACAGTGAGTAAACAGAAGGTCACAGGAAGGAGAGAGAGGGAGCCTGTTGTTATGTTACAGTGGGTTACTGCATGGAATGCATTACATGCTGTAACATTCCTGGTCTTGATCTGGACTCGGGCTTTACAGTTGTGACAGTCAGAAGAACAGTAAAAATACTACATCTTACTTGTCGTTAAAGAAGAGCCCACGAGCCACAGCATACGTGATGGCAGGAACGATGGGAAAACCTTTGGACAGAGAGAAACACAGACAGAAATATCAGACTGACATCCTGAATGTCTACAGAGGCTTCTGCTGTTGCATCACAATGTGTAAACATGTGAAAAGTAAAACAGAATATTAACAGAATAGATGATACATGTGTTTTAAATAAACAGTCACACAGTATTTTTTAACTAACTTTAAAGGAATAGATTGACATTTGGGGAAATATGCACATTCCCTTTCTTGCTGAGAGTTAGATGAGAACATTGATAGGCATATCTGTTTGTTTAATAGGAAGATCAGGAGACAGTTAACATAGCTTAGCATAAAGAATGGAAATGAACGGCAAGAAAGTGACATCTAGTGGCGTAGTTGCAGATTGCAATCCCTTCACTTCACCCTCCTGTTCCAAGTGAATAGGTTGGGAGAAACTACAGTGGCCACGAAACAAGCAAAAAACGCATTAAGGCCCTATGAATAGACAGTGTTCAGTTTAACCCTTCTGGGCTACTGTACAAATATGGTTCAACATGGTGGAGTCACTAGAATTGGACCTGCTCCCCTATATTCCATTTCTGCCAATCCTCCTACATGTTACACACTTGACCTTTAAGTAACGTATAGGACATGCGCCATGCTCATTACAGGCAGGTTATTTTGTACAGGTATATATATATATATATATATATATATATATAAAAAGTGAGCCTTGCAGAGACATAAAAGAATCCATTACTGATACACAAGAGCTGGATGCCTGCATGAGTGCTGAAATAAAAAGCCCACTCATCTAAGCCCAGGTACATCTAGGCTTCAAGGTTACATTTTCGTATTGAATTATGTGTGAAATTGTATGTTCTCAGTGCAATAAAAGCATTCAAGGCTAAAATATAGTGAAAAATTGCAGATGCTTTCATACATTCAGGTGGCCTTCTAAGTACATTTATGTTTCGGCACTTTAATTTGAAACATGTTTTGGAATACATGTTTTTTGATTTTTACACAACCACAAGATGGGAGCAGCTTACACTGAAACAACAAAAAGGAAATAGTTTGGAAATGAAAGTGAAATAGCAGATCCTCTTGACTCACCCCATCCCAGGACATAGTACCAGAAGAGCTGCTGTTCCCCGACAAAGACGGCCACTATGATGAGCGTGTGGAGGTAGATGCCTTCACACAGCATCCAGAAGTAGTTGGAAGTAGACGTATACTGATTCAGCACAGCCAGGACCTTACAGATCACCTGATGGACAGGGAATGTAAGACTTCACTTCCAATGTGATTTAAACCCAGAATAAAAAACAGAGAGCCACCCACAGATTGAGTAGTGCTTTAAGCTGTGGATTATACACCTAATGAGCACAACAAGTTAAATATAGGATGTATTTAACATGGGGGAATTGAATTATTAAATGTATTAGTGTGATAAGATGAAATATAGATGAAAGATAAATTCAGCGGCTCACTGGGTTGGTGGCATTTATGGCTTGGTTATTGCCCGCAGTGAGCGAGAGCCATATTATAGTAATAATGGAGTTCAAGATGAAGGAGAGAAACATATTCTTGTGGAGGGAGATTCTCTGGCAGCTCAGACTCCTGAAAGAGAGAAACAGACAGAGGGAAGGGAAGGTATGTTAGGAAAAGTCTCTTTTTATAAAGGCTTATACAAACAGTTTAGGACTGCCATTGCCATAGCTGAGTGAGATATTGAATGTGATTGTACTTTTCCTCAACAATTACATTCTTTAGATTGATTAGATGGAAAAGCCTTTGAAACATTTGCATTTTGTCACAATAAAACTGATAAGCAGCACAGTACAGTATTGCTCAGTTGTAGAGAATCATAGTGTTATTCAATATTAAGGGCGGGGCCAGACGTTGGGCTTAGCCCAAAACTTGGGGGGCCCGGGGAGATTTTTTTTCTCCATTTATGGCAGCTATATAAACTACTCTTCAAGCCATTTGAGATAATAAAATGCCTAAAAATCTGCACATAATTTAAGAACTAACTATCTTCATAATGAAACCATAACATAAAACATTTTCAGGATGTCTGTTTTCACTCCTGCTAGCTTAAAAGATGTTATTTCAGCTACATAACATGGATAGGGAAGGGAATTTACATAAACAACATTAGTAATATTAAAGCCTATTTTCTCTGTTCATTCCATAATAGAAATGTTGTGTGCTTATGTTATAAATATCAATGTTGTTTCCATATATTGGTCTACATACAAGCAGCCTATACCAGTTTCTGAGCTAGCATACACACACTGACACTGAAATAGGACGGAAAAGTAAGTTTAAGTGTATAAAGTGAGTCAGATCAGACATTAGAAACCTTGGGACTCACTTGAAGTAGGAGAAGATGATCAGACAGATGATCAGGGACACAATGGACAGACCGTGACCCACCATGGCCAGGTAGTAGAGACTGATGGCAATCTGCAAGGGACAAAAGATGGTTTATTCATGATAAATATAAATAAATTCACCACATATTAAGGATGGTTTTATTTTAAGGCCAGGTGAAAGCATATAGAGTGTTTGCATAGTTTTCACCTTTACAGTATGTTATCAGAAGCATGCAAGCATCGCCTCTTTGCAGCACGAAAGAAAGCAACGGAAACATCTGTAAAGAATATGAGCCTTTTGGGAAAATTCAGAAAAGAAAGTGTTTCCTGAATGGTTATAAATTTAGATTCACTGACTGAAATAATCATACTGCTGTCACAGCAGTTAAATGAGATTCATGGAAGATTGTCCAAGTGGCACAAATCCTAAATGCAGACACTAGGTGGATCAAGTTGATTTATTAGACATATATTTAATTATTTAACATTAAAAAGGTTTTCACAATACATTTACACTTAAATCAGAACTCCACACAGACAAGATTCTGCGAGTTAGATGTCGAGTTTGACTTCCAAAGATGTAAAGTGGGGGGAGGAAATTGAGATGAGTTTTCCTGTGATGCTCACTGTAAGTTTATACAACAAAAAAAAGCAATCTTAGCTTTTTGAACATTGGACATTAATTAGTGTAACATAGTGCGGATGGTATGTATTACACCCTGATTCATGCAGACACACCGACACCACCCAGCTACGGGCCAATCAGGGTGTGTGATTTAAAGTCGCAGGATAGAGATTTTGATGGTTTGGAGATTTTAAAGAAATCTGATTCCACTTGCTGTAACTTGAGCTAAGCATGGTGGAGGCAGCTTGTTAGCTGTAGTTTACAGTCTCAGGGCAGTAGTGTAGTTTACAGTGTTTACAGCAGTTCCCACAACATGAGTCAGTGAATCAGTTCGTGTTGTTATGCTCAGCTGTCCAAGGACTTGTAACTTTTGACTATCAGATATCAACATCTGTCAGAAAGCCTTCTGGTGTTGTTTCCTGTAGCCTGCTCCGATTACATTTCCGGCATCATGCCAAAAAAGGTGCAACGGTTGCATGTTGCATTTTGTCCTTTCACAGTTAATGCTATAAGCTTTAGGTCAAGTCAGCCAACACTGTAAAGTCTAGGAACATTAAGCAACTGAGGCTGCACTTAACTACACTTGGAGGCATTACTTAAAAGTCTTGTGGTTACTTTGCACCAGTCCACTTGAAAGAGGAGAGAGTCTTGGTTTTTGTGGTTTTTTTATCCCACCAAATGAAACTACTCTAATTTGGTCAAATGAGCCAAACTAAATGTGTTTTTAAGTGCTCCAAACATGGAGAAACCTTTGAAATCCTCTCTCACACACACACACAGTTTCACTGCATTGTGTTTTTCCTTTACATATATATATATACTGTCAATGGTTTTACCTTGAGTTTGTCCTTGGTGTGGGCCTGGCACTGGGTGTAGTTAGTCCAGACCCTGTTGCTCTCTGGGTGGTGGAACCACTGGCCACCAGGATTACACACTTTGGTAACCTTCTCTGTTGAAAACGTTATATTTCTTACAGTTTGAATTAAGTGAGAAATTAGGAATAACAAAAAGAAAATACAAGATACACAAAATAAACTGCTGTGCCTGCATATGTGTACATACATATATGTATGTGTGTGTGTGTGTGTGTGTGTGTGTGTGTGTGTGTGTGTGTGTGTGTGTGTGTGTGTGTGCTGCCTCACCAGCAGGGTCAAAGTCAGCAAAGTATTCAGGACACATCTGCATGACAGTCCCTGGAGATGAATCCCCCCAGCACAGCCAGCCATCCCACGTACGGTTGCAGTAAGAACCTACAGAGGGCAGTACGGACATGACAGTGAACCTGCAGAGCTTGCAGATACTAGACATTAGAGATGTGTGTGTAGCTCAAAAACACATGCCTTGGCTTTTTAAAATGAAACTTAAATGTAATGCTGCTTGCTTCAAGTGCACTATTTAGATATAAAGTCACCCGAAATCCCAAACAGGTAGAGGGCTGGAAATAAAGAGAGGAAAAAGAGCAGCGTGTAAACCTTCTTCCACTCCTTGTTTTAAGTGAGGGACTTAATTCTGTAAATGGCTGTGAATCTCCAGGAAAACTTGAAAAGGCCCTATCTTTGAGCCAGTGCTTGGTTTGAATGTTCTGGGCTACTGCAGAAACATGTCAGCTCAACATGGCGGGCTTCATATAAGAGGACCCGCTCCCTCTGTAAATAAAAACTGCTCATTCTAAGGTAACGAAAAAACAATGATTCTTATTATTCGGTGATTATACACTAATGAAAACATACCTATGAATATTATATTCTAGAGCCATTTTCAGCTTGTCTAATTAGAACTTTATGAGCACTAAATCAGGCACGAGAAGTAAGTTTGGATTTTATTTCCAAAACTGAAGCCTATTGTAATGTATTACCACTCAACCAATAAATTATAACAGTTATGTAATGAGCCTGCTGTCAGTGGCAAACATGTCAACAGAGATCCATGAAGGTACTTTTTTAAATGTTTAATAAACTTCCTGGCTGGATGAATCATATAAATTATCTATTCAACATAAACGGTGTGTCACACCTCTATTTAACTGCAGCTGGCCCGCACAAAGTCTGTCAACAATGGACGGAAACCTGGTGGTACCAGGTTGCACAGTGCCATGTTGGGAAACAGAGCACAAAATAACATTTCAAAGGCAGTGAATACTGAGCAGGAGTAACAGGCACTGGAAAATAGACAAAGGGCAAGTTTCCTTTCTTTCAGGCTCACTTCCCCTCTCTCTCTCTCTGTCTCTCTCTCTCCCTCTATCTCTCTGAGTGTGTGCACACGCTGGGAACTAGGTAAGACTATCATGAGGATAATTGACTGAAAGTCATATTTTTTCCTCCTTCTCATTCACATCTTAATTGCGGATCCTAGTATGACAGTATAGTGCTAAAAGAACAGGAGCATGTGGAATTAAGGGTAATCCAAGCATTTCTTTTGGAAGGACATCCTGTAATTCAATCTCTTACTTTTTTATAAGTGATTACAACTGCAGTGGGAGTGATTTCATTAAAACTGCTTTAGCACTGCAACTTGTCTGTAAAATGTGATTAACATTTATCTGCCATCCGCCAGAAGCAAAATATGTTGATACCATTAAGGATATGTAAGTTCCAGCTGGACTGTGAGTAAACAATAAAGAACAACAGCTTTATCACCTTCTTCTAGACGTGGCGGGTCATGGATTATCTTCAGGTAGCACTCAAACTGAGCAGCCAAGATTTGGGGTCGGGATTCTCCTAGTACGGTGGAAATGTCACTGTAATTCTCCTCCTCCTCAAACTCCACGCTTTCCACAGCCACCACTGACCCCACATCCTCAGACTGGGACACCTGGGTAAAAAAAATCATACACAGTACAATACATATATATTAGAGATGTTAGAATGATGAATGGCTCTACTTGACGTAAGCTTTCCTGTTAGACTCAAATGTCACTTTACAATGAGAAACTACTACCAACAGGTCCCAGAGAAAGTATAGCTTGTAATAACTGGGATTTTATCAAATGATACTAAATGATATAACAGTTGGATATATCAGAGAAACATGCATGGCTAAAATGTAATAAAGAAGTATTACAGAAGTAACACTGTATGTGTACACACTCAGGGTGTCAAAAGCAATTAACTAAATATAGAATGAAAAGGAGAGGACTATGGATCCACACACACACACCCACACACACACACACACACACACACACACACACACACACAAATCGCACTCACCTCTGTGCCCAATACCAGTGCAACTATCAGTGACAGTGCTAGGGTCCTCCACATGTTTCTAAAACAGAAAAAAGAACAAGGACAATCCAATTATTAGACATTTTTATGCCAGATTACCAAGTATCCACATGTTATTACCTGTGAGAAGCTGTTATTTATTACAAAACTGATTCCAAACAGTTCCTGGGCCAAAGTGGACTGACTAACAGACTGGTCGGTCCACCACTTTGACACATTTTGACTCCGTCCCATGACTCTGGCTGCTAAAAATACAATTGTGACCCTTTTACGTCCGTAGCTAACATCACACACAGTTTAATAATTCCATGTTAATAAAACGTTGCTACAGAGCCCCTAAAGGGACATGGGGGCTCCGTACGTTGGTGTTTTTTTCCTGCTGTTATTTAAATTCAAATCACTGTGAGTGCATGGTCTTACAAGCGTGCTTATGTATGTTTATTTACAGTATGTATTTTCTCATGTCAGGACAGGAAGTTCATGCTCCACCAGCCATTCCTCTCCACTGTCCACTCAGGGTCACACAAACAGATGTGTGTTTATTGTTATTTCTGAGTGGGTTAGGGTTAAGGGCAGCGAGTTCCCTTTAGTGTTTCCTCTTGAACCAAATAAGTCAAACGAGGGTAAAATAAATACTCAGAATAAGGAGGCTTAAGAGAGAGGTGACAATAATAGTCTCTTTGGTGGGAGAGTGTGATGGGTTTTATTCATTATTATTATATTTACATGACAGATCAGATGCTCAATTCAGGTGGTAATAAAATGCAGAATTGTGCTACTTGTGCTTCTGTGCATCATTTGTTTCTTTCAGCTTGCTCTTCGTGGGAGTTACCAATGTATCATCAGTGTAGAGCTGATTGGATTAGGCTTTTTTTTACGCCAGATGCCCCTCCTGACGCAAACCCTCCCCATTTATCCAGGCTTGGGACCCGCAGCTAGGAATGCACTGGGGTTCAGCTCTGACACTGTCAGTATGTAAATAGGTAAGTAATGGAGTACATGTCTAAGTGATTGAGTGATCCTTTGCCTTCGGGGAGTAAGGTGTAATATGCAACCCGTCCTTCTCTTTGGAATTGGAACCTCTTTCATCCCTGTGAATTATTTTACTTGACTTCAAATGCTTGTTGTGCAGATGACATATTCAATTTTCAAACCAAACAATAATCTTTAGAATCATTTAAGAGCAGAGAAGTTTAACTTTTAAAGAGAGCGGTAAAAACCAGCCAAAGATATATAAACTGAATCATAAACAAATGAAATGAAAAACGACAAATGTTGAGATTAACTGAATGTTGATGTCCCCCTGAACAAATAAAGATGAATATTTAAGTGGTTCTAAAGCACAGACAGGCAGACAGTTAAAATCAGTTACAGTTCAAATTCAAGCCAAGAAGCTCTTCTTGAGGCCAGAGTAATGAAAACATTTGGACAGTTGAGAGAGATGAAGAAATAGAGGAGAAAGCAATGTGGGAATGCTGTGCGTCAATGGTGTGAGGCTTTCGGGAACAAGTGCTTTGAATAGAACCAGTGCTTTTAATAGTACGAAAAAACATTCCTCATTCTTTGTTTGGACGTTTTTCTTTCTACCTCTACTCGCTCACGTAAAGCACAAGATGCGGAACGTGTGAGTGTCACGGTCGCTCACAAGCATAGAGAGGGAAAAACAGGACATAGCCCAGATTTAACTGAAACAGAGCATTTCAATAAATGATGTTTGAGGGAGCATTTAGAGCAGACTTTCATGCATAATGTTCAGTGATTTTGTGTGACGTCTCATACCCAAAGGGAGTGATGTGCCAAGGTTGTACAGAAGCAAGCTCTTTTTACTCCCCCCAAGACACAAGGGTGATAATTAAAACATTTGCAGTAAATAACTTCTCAGTGTTGAAGAATGTAATATTTATGTGTGCTAACCTTTCAGCAATTGTCTGTAGTGACAATGTTTTTATGGCAGAAAGGTTCAGAATGTTTGAATAAATGACAGAAAATATATTAAGTAGGTGTCTTCCACAAAACACAATGTGATGCTAATAGTGCTAGCTGGTCATTTTTAACAGTGTATTAAAACCGACTATCACGATGGGTTCAAAAAGGCGTAAAAAGAACACTGCCATTTTCAAACCCAGGGTAACTAGGTGAGTAGTTTCCTAGCTAAAATGATAAGACACACATAAAACATTTTAGAGTGGTGGAAGTTGGCGTTTGATGGAGGCTAGCTGTTTACCCATGAAGCTGCCTCCTTTATTCACAGCAGACATTTTGACTTAATAGCAGGAACACAGGTGTTGCTCTAAGTTAACGATGGCTCTGTTCCATTTATTTCCCCATAAGACCTGACAGTTGAGTTTTTAGATTTTTTATTTATTTTATTTGCACACATAATGCATACATAAAAGACAACAGAATTTTAAAAAGTTTGAACAGTGTGCAGTAGAGGATGTAAGGTCCCCTGTATAATCTTATTTAAAAAAAGAGAAACAATGATGGTGTATATACGTCAAAGTTTCAAGCTGCAGAAACACAAAAATGTACAGAAATGTACGATTTCCATTGAATTTTATGTTAACCCAATCTAATGCATTATATTGAGATACAGTGTTAAATTATGAATAGTTTTTCACATGCTCTTTTAATAAAGATAAACCATCCTGATGTACCATATTTCAATTAAAGAAAGTCCGACCATGCAGAGGATGAAAGTCCTAAATGTCCGGTAGAATATGAGGAAAGGTCTGAGGAAAACCTTAAAAACTGCTGAAAGGCGCTACGAGAGTCATGAGTTGTGTTGTTGTTGTTGTTGTTGTTGTTGAGGGCATAAACACACAAGTGTGGAATATGTTCACATTATAAATTAATAGACATTTGTATGTTCTGAAGAGAGTCGTATCTTTCAGCATAGCTAATCACCCTGGCAACAGTATTACAATACACAGTGTAAGGAAAAGTTAAAGTACAGGAATGATTTATCAGTGAACGAACCAAAGATACTGACTGACTCCACATGTTATGGTCAGTAGCTTCTAGTGTTTTCCCCTCCCTGGTGTTCCTCTCTCTCTCTCTCTCTCTCTCTCTCTCTCTCTCTCTCTGTATGGACTCCTCCCACTCTCCCTGATTACCTGCTCACTCGTCTGACTGCTCGAACCTGCCAGCCATCAACCCTGGTTCTTCATCCACTCTCCGCCAGATCGTTGTTTCCACATGTTTGGTAGCAACTCTCTCGCCCAGTTAGTGATACTGAAGATACGTTTTTTTTCCCCAGTGCCTCAGAATCATCACCTACACCTAAGCTAACCTGCCCGCTTCACCTCACCATCTCATCAGCCACCAATTGGTTTTACAATAAAGCCCTGTCTTTGGTAATCATACTCAACTTTTGTTTGTGTTCTGCTTGTGGGTTCCTCTGTTTAACACAACACCACAGTCCTTTCACAGACAAGTTCAATGTGTTACGGAATTTAAGAAATTATTTCAACGTTTATATACGTCTATATTTTGGCTTTCTCTTTTGTATACAACTATACAGAATGCAGTAATTATTAGTGTTGTGCTTGGTGCTATTACTATGGTCGTGTGTATGTGTCCTGTCCCTCTCTCCTGGTTCCTGGAGCCCTGTTCATCTGCACACCTGCAATCAATCAGCTCGTCAGCTCTCCGGTATTTCAAACTTCGCCCAGATTGTTCAGTCAGCTGCAGTATGAGCTCAGGCCTTCCTCAAGTATTTGAGATTCAGTTTTCTTTCTGATTATTCCTTGTACTCCAGGACCATACCCCTCTGCTGATCTGCCTGGCTGCATTCAACCCAGCCATCTCCAGCAAGCCACGCTGTCCCCCGCTCACTCCTCCATCCTGTTCCGGTAAACCCAGCCATTGCTCGCTGCTCTCTGGCTTCAGTCTTTACTCGTTCACCTCCGTTCCCAGCTTCCCTTGCAATAAATGCCCTTCTGATATTTACTACTCCTGTGCCTGGGTTCTGCGTTCGGTTCCACCTCTAAACTGAAATGTAGTAATTGCACGTCAAAATGTTTTTTGTGAACAAAGTCTATTGACTTCATAAAGTAAATTGACAGCTCTATGATCTAACTCGGTAAAAGCCAATGATTGGGGGAAAAAAAAATTTCTGTCAGTTTTTTTCTCTTAAACGGCTACAGGGCTGCCTACTCTTCAATGGAAAATAACACTTGCTCTAAACTGCTACATTATGTAATGTGCTCATTTGCAACTGCCCCATTTGCTTATTAACAGTTAGGAAAAAGTAATATAAATTAGATACCAATTTCCCTGGTACATGAGTAGCTACCAGGTAACCACTAACATACATGCAATCATATTCAGCAAACACTTAGACTTAATTTTTTGCTGCTAATTCACTCGTTTGGAGAAATAAACTACTTTGTTTTTCTGGCAGTGAATTAGAGGAGAGGAATATCACTCATATCTGACATTAAATGGGAGCCTAAGCTTAGTTTAGCTTAGCAAAAAGGTGGGAATTGGCTCGCTTGCCTCAATCAGACTCAGAAGGAATATATATTGACATATTTAATGGTCCGATGAGAGAGTAGTATCACAACATCTCTAAAAACTTGTGAATAAGCTTATTTTTCCCAAAATGTCGACCTATTCCTTTAACGCTGCTTGGTGCAGCGACTTCCCCCACCACCCCAGAAAGGTTTTTGGTATGGACTATAAGATCTAATGTTCATGTATGTTTATAGCTATCTCTGGATTATTTATGTGTGTATAGTTTATGTGCTTATGCTGGGGGTTAGTTTGGATTCTTTGCTCCTCCTCAAAGAGCACTCGTGGAAGTGAAACGCTAATGCCCCAATTCCTTTTGGAAAGTAACTGACAGAAACGAAGTAACATGTGTCAGGAGACCAAGCAGGTTGTTTCTCTTGGTCACTGAAAGATGTCATGCCCCTTGGAATTAGAACACCTTTACTACCTTTACTACTAAAAAATGTCAAGAGTAGACATTCTAGATCTTGCCTTTGTCCCTTCTTTCTCTCTTTTACGTGCACACAAACACACACACAAAGCATA